CTAAGCCACCTGCATACATGATCAGCCAGATCAGGAACTAGGTAGTAGGTACTAGGTACTAGTGAACTAGTCTACTCACAAAACTATTCTGATATAGTTTGGTGATTATAGCTACCTAGTCTTCCTTGTACCTTGTAAAACAATATGAGTCTGGATAATCATGGCTAATAATATGAGAAGAGAATATACCCCTCAACCCCTCGGCGTCAATCGAAAAATGGCATGGACACAGGGTCACAGGCGGTTCACGTTCAACCTGCAATCCTGCATTAGCCATCATTTATTAAAAATTATCCACACAAACAGAGAAATATAGTTAATATGATCTCACGGCAGTACGGATTTCAACTTAGCCCAACGGGTTAGATGGCTACTAGATTATTGTGAACAAAATAACATTACAATACCTACTAATTTATATGGGACGTCGGCATTCATCTGCGATGATCTGCCTACTTCTTCTTCTTAGCAGGGGGTCCACACTGTGGTGGACATAAAGCCACAGGTCTGCCTGATGGATGACCGCTGGGCCTGAGAGCTTGTTGCTTGTTAAGTTTTTAGCCTCTTAGTACAGGAAGCTAGTCTGTGCTCTCTTAAGGGAGATCGGTTCTCTAGTAGCTCCGTACAAGATTTGAGGAGTTTGAAAGATACAAGTAATTAGTAAATGGACTTAAAATTAGAAGCTCAATTGAGGCAAAGCATGAAAGGTAAATGAATGCTGATTTAGCCTCCGGGCCTCCCTAGCTCAGCTACCTACTTCAAAAGTTCAAATACCTAAAAGACTTGTCTAGATGTTTATAAATATGCCAACGATAACAGCAGGCAGAATATAAGTGGCAGTAGCCAGTAGTCAGATGTGCACATGGCCGTCATGCATGCTTGTGTACAGCTGTTGCATGGCAACCTACAGCTCGCCTAACCTGCCTGACTTCAATATGAATAAAGTAAAAAATCGAAATATTTTCTGTTGTACATTATCATTATGATTACCTCCCCCCAACAAATTACAAAGAGTAAATTCAACATTAATGCATCTTAAATTACGTTGTAGCTCTTGTCTTGGCAGTGCATGACGTTGACAATCCAGAAGAAAATGCGCTATTGTATCCGATGCATTGCAGGTGGTACATTGATCTGTGTTGCTCATGTTGAATCTGTATAGATGGCTCTTGACACCGGCATGACCAATTCTGAGTCTTGCAGCTGCACACTTTAACCTGCGGGACTTTAAGGCTGGACCTGCGGCCTGCCTACTGCAAAACGTTTCTGGATCTGGGCTGGAACGTATACGTCGTGGTCACGTCTGACTATGCATTGAAAACGCATCATACGAAAGAACTCTCATAACACAAATATTTGTAAGATGCATATAGAAAGATGAAGAGAATAAGGTTGGCGGTAACTGGAGCCAGAAGGCTGTACAAAAAGCAATGGTAAAATGATAATAACAGTAGCAATAATGCAAAAAATATTAATGGTCTGAGTGATCTCGAAATCTAATGACAATTTTAAAAATTACGCTGCAATAAATTTGACACAGCAATAATAGACAAAATTATTTCCCTGTTGAACCTTCCTTCTTCTTATTAGCGCATTTTCTCATTTATGGAAAAAGGCGCTATTGTGGTCGTCATGTCCTTCCGTCCGTCCGTGACCACGTTTTCGTCGACGAGAAAATGCACTCTGTCACTCACTGCAGTGGAAATGTCTCTAAATCTCTGTTAAAGCAACTAGAGACTGTGCAAAACTCAGCACTCAGATACATTTTGGGTGCTCGTCGTACCACACCTGTCTTATCCTTGCAAGTTGAAAGCTTCATTCCTCCATTGAAACTCAGATTTCTTTTCCTATTCATGAAGTGGGTGCTCAGATACATGTACTTGCCTGAGGGGGACCAAGTGGCATCTATGTTGGGATTCCTGGATCAGGATATTCTTTTGAACTCACCATTTATTGCAACAGCTCGTCAAAGTTTCCAGATGCTGAACCTTCCACCCTTGCAACGTGTTCCAACTTCTCTGCTATCGTGTTTTCCACCTCACGTGGATCTTTCTTCCAGCATCTGCCTGAACCTGCTGAGCCCTGATGTTAATTCGATGCCTCGTGAAATCACTAAGAATTGCTTTCAAGACTTTTGGAAGCAGAACTATCCTCAGCATATGCAGATCTATACTGATGATCACGTTCTGCTACTGGATCAGTGTCTGCTGGACTTTACCTGCCATCTACCAACCTGGCTACTGGGTGGCTGCTGAATCCAGTGCACACCATACTGGGCGCTGAATTATTTGCTATACTCAAAGCCATGCAGCTTGCCATCACTGATGAATCTCTGGAGGATAAGCCAATTCTGATCCTGACTGACTCACGAACAGCACTGCAAGTTCTTTCTTCACTGTCAGTTTGCTCCTATTGCTCAATCATTGCTCAATTTCATAAACTGATGCAAATCAAGGGGCTCGATAGAGTGACGATGTGTTGGGTTCGTGGCCATAGCAACATTCGTGGGAATGAAGTGGCTGACAGAATAGCAAACCTCGCACATGCAAATGATCGCTCTGCCAGATCCAGTTTGTGCTTTGAGGAGTGGCTCTGTCTGTTAAAGAACAAATTCTTGAACTATTGGTCACTCTGGTGGTCAGAGGAAGTGCAGTCTTCAGGGAAGGGAACCTTCAGACTGGGCTTGGGAGAGACAGTAAATTATGTGGACTATGGACCGCTACCTCGCTCAGTTTAATGTGCTGTGGCTCGTCTGCGGCTTGGTCATGCTGGTGTGAAATCCCACTTGGCCCGCTTCAATTTGGCCAATTCCGGCATCTGCCCCACATGCAACACAGAAGACACAATTGAGCATTCCATTTTGCACTGTTCGCTATACATCAATCAGAGGAGGGAGTTTCGTTCAAATCTGGAGAACCTTTCACTTCCTTGGAACCTCATCACAGCTCTGGGAGGGGGTGATATTCCTGAAAAAAGAACTGCAGTCATTCATCGCCTGGGACAATACCTGCTAAAATGCAGCATGGTGAACACCCTATGAAAATTATCAGTGCCTAATTCCTTTGTTATTTTCTTCCACACAAAAGCCTCTTTGTGAGAGCATGAAGAAAATTTCAAAATGAAGTGAAGAGGCAGTTGAGTTGGAGTTTTCATGAAAAACAAGTTGTGCTCAGGCTGGGAGGTGTGACTGTTTCACACCCGAAGTCTTAAAATCAAATAAAAAAAAAACTCACTGCAGTGGGTACTGAGTTAAATATATTTTTTTATCCTAGCCTTACCACGAACTTTACCACCTCTCTGGCCACCGACTGCTCCTATCTGACTCGGCGTCTTTTTCCATTTCCTAACACTAACGGAGTGACAGGTGGCATCTAGCCGATTCAAAGGCCTGACGACTGAATGTCTGTTTCGGAGTAACCACGCTCCAAACCCATGTATTACGATATCCTGATTGCACAAATAGCAAATCAAATATAAAGTTGATGCTAAAAAAATTACATAGATGTAAAATTTTTTCAAAATGAAAACGCTTCGACCACCAGCACAGACAATTTTTTAAAGTCTCGGGAATACACGCGCGTAAAATTATCAATTGTAGATTTGAAAAGTATTATTGAAGAGTTTATCTGCTAATATTTATTTCATGGTATATTGTCATATTATGTTTCCTCAATTAAGATAGAAATGATCACCTAATAAAATCACCTGAACGACTTCACAATATTTGTAATAATAATTTTTTTAACTGACGATGGAACTGCTATCAGAAACGGTTTCACTGCAAATGTGGTCGTGTATATTGTAGCATCATTTGGTATGAAGCTGTAAGCCTAACATTCAAATAACTCCGATAGCATGATCATACTTTGTGCGCACGATCACCGAATTGAAAAATATATTTAAGAGATTCACGAGGTCGGTAATATTTAAACGAATTATCGTCTATGTTATATTAATGCATGGTGCTTCTGTTAAATTTAGGTTGGCATCTTAGCATCGCGAGAGTTTGGCTGATAAGTGTAGTTCGGTTCACGTGAGCTACACATTGTCTCTTTCTCTTACCATAACTAAGGTTGAACAATCAATTAACTACTCTGGAAAGCACGCTTCTCTGGAAGGGAGTAAAATACCTAATCATTATGAGAAGTGATGAAACCTCACCTCAGTTGTGCCCAAGTTACTCTGCTTTTGGGCAATTATCTCTGGCATTATTGCTGCAGTCGGCCAGTGCCACCGATGCGGCGAGCAGCGGGCAATACTCTAAAATATTCATATATTGGCCAGCCTATAGAATCTCTATACACTTATACAGATTTTCCGATGGTTAATATACTAGAAATACAGCTTTTGAGCACGATTTGCTATTATGAACTTCACATAGCTTGGCATATGCAGTATCAAGATGTCAAATCATGACCCCATTCAGGACGGTCAAACGTGAATTCTATTGGCTCGCAGAACATGAATTGCGTAACTCATCGTCGATCTCTTAGAATAATCGAGCTCAAATTTTGGTTTAGGGGTAATGCGATTTGAATTCTTCGCTTTATTTTAGTGCCACAGCAACGCATCCATTTCGTGCACTGGGCACGTAATGGCCCCAACATGTACACCGTGAATTATTTCTTGATTTTATTTGCCTTTTTTTAATAGTCACAACGGAAGAGCATAACATCTTAGAGGTAAAATAATGGAAAAATGAAGGCAAAAGCAAGGCATGTTATGTTTATTGGAATTCAGGTACATCATCAAGTGCCGCGGCGTGACACGCTTCCAGCATTCTCCTTACAGACAAGAATTTCGAACAGAAAACGCAAAACAATCATAACGGGAAGGTAGATGGAAATATGTACAATAGTTATGCGTTTTGGGTATAAAAAACAAATAGCAAAATTATCTCTAATATAAAAGCTAATTTTGATTCAAAAGTAGGTACTAGATAATTAGGTAAGTATTTCAATAATATATAATCCCCTCATTTTGAAATAAGACCATATTGTTTAAATATAGCCAGGGCTTTCTTCAGTACAGGTCGAGGCACCCGTGTCCAGCTCACTACAGCACCCTGATGACATGCCGAAGACCGCGCGCAAGATTTCTTGTTTTGTTGGCGATGCCGGTCGCCTCAATGAAGATGCTAAGATTCTGTGGGATTTGTTACGCGTGTTACTCTTGCCACACTTTCCCTTGTCTGCAGATTTGCTGTCATCCTTCCTAGGATGTTTCAGTCTTACTGCTTCCTCATCGCGGTCTTCGCCAAAAAGCTCCGATAATTTCCTCTTCTTCTTGTCGCGAGATTCTGTTCTTCCTTCAAAAGGAGGTTTGGAATAACATTCCAGCATGACTGAAGGATCAGAGTGCCAGGCAACCAGAAAAGCATTTGCGGCATCACGGGCGCTATTGACAGCTCTGGTGACGGAGGTCTTGGCTTCTAAGGCGCTTGCCTGGGTTTGGGTGAGCTTCAGGAGTTCGCCAGAAAGCTCGATGACGGCGTTCGACAATTTCTGATCCTGATGAAATGAAAAGAAATTAGAAGAACGATCGGTCTTGACTGCAGAATGGGACATGCAGGGACCCAGGGACGTGCTGTGAGAAATGGCAATATTGGTATCCTTCCTGCTGGGGCGTTTGAACATTTCTTCCTCGTCACTATCTTCCCCAAAAAGCTCCTTGAAGATGTTCTTCAAATTCCTTTTTTTCTTTTTGGTATGTTCGTTCTCTTTCAATACTTCTATATCAAGAGATTTGGAAGAACTATTTGTTGTGACAGTAGAACAGGACTTCCAGGCCCCCAGAGACGTGTGAGCGGCAGCTGGAAGGACATAGGCATCTTTCCTGGGCCGTTTAGATTTTTCTTTTTCCTCATCGCTGTCTTCGCCAAAAAGCTCTATGAAGATGTCCTTTAATTTTCTCTCTTTCTTGTCGGTATGCTTGTTCTTTTTAAGCTCATCTTCATCGCGGGTTTTGAAAGAACAACCGCCCTTTACTTTCGGATAAGACTCACGGGTGCCAAAAGACGTGTTTGAGGCAGCATGGGGGATATTGGCCGCTCTGGTGACAAGAGACTTGGAATAAGACTTGCAGGTGCCAAAAGACGTGTTTGAGGCAGCATGGGGGATATTGGCCGCTCTGGTGACGGAAGACTTGGAATCAACGGAGGGTCGGTGGAGCTTCAGGGGTTCGCCGAAAATCTCGGTGAAAGCATGCGTCACATTCTGATCCTGGTGAAATGAAAATAAATTAGAAATTCAAGTGATGTGAACACGGACGTGGAAATGAAATGAATGCATGAAATTGGAGCACACACATCACATAATATTCAAGGGTATGAACACCGGACTCGCATGAGGTCAATAATGCTAATGCTTCATTCTTCATACAAACACAAAGTGAATTAAGACAATTGTTTTCGAATGACGCACTGCAGCGTATGTCACTATATATTAGTTAACTGTTTTATAGTCTGAGAGAGAAATGTGAGAATGCAAATGATAGTTAATTCCATATAAATCATGCAGGAGAGAGAGCAGGACAAAAGCAGTCTCGTACAATGGCGATCCGTTCACTATATTATACAAAGACTTTAACGCTCGAGTTAATGCAGGAAAAGGCAACACGTCAAACAAAATTACTGGGAATAGAGTATAAGCAGCGGCCCATAAAGCAATTAAGAAGCTAATGTCAACTACTGAGACAATTGTACAGAAAATGCATCATTGCGTCAGTCCCGTGCGATTCAATGATAACCCAACAACATGTGCAGATTTTCACATCACACATTCAAAAAAGTGCACGCAAAATGAATACTTTTGTTAGTGCAACATCCAAGCAACACCCAAGAGCCTATCAACAGAAGAAGGTTAAGGCGTCATCGAGGCTCTCGTGTTCCCGTGTACTTTGATGGCAGAACTCCTCGCCAGGGATCTGCGTACTAAGATACGGTATCATTTAAATATTGACTGCTGAGTATTACTGTCCATGGATGGAAAAGAAACTTCCTCGAGAACATTTTAAGCGGACAAATGACACGTCGTGATGGTCAAGAAATTACAATACGCAAAAGCGGAAGAAGATTAGGGAAGCTCAATTCACTGCATTATATTCTCACAAGTATAGTATCTAGTATGGTATCTTCGGAATTGAAGAATAGGCCTGGATAGGCCTGTCGCCGAGCACAAAAGCTTACCGAGTTCGGGAACGTTTTATCTGAAGCAGTGAGCTGCAACACTTCATTCACACGTAATGTTAGTCACTCATAACAGCGATGTACGAGAGCCATTGGCGTACAGGGATGAGCGTTAGTGGGACATGCATTCTTGCATGGGAAACTTGCAAGCAGATTATCAGCAAAGCCTTCAATATAAGTGTAATTTAAGTGGAGGTATGTAGCAAGACCTGCAACTGTTAAAACTGACATAGGTAAATGTAAAGGAATTACGGAATTATGTGCAGAAAGATCTATGAACGGCAAATGACTGACTGGAAAAGTGTTCAAGATTTGATGATGCATCAGGATTGCCCTCCCCAGGGGAATATCGCAGCTCGCATGAAAATCGCTGATAGGAATGCAATGAAATTTAATGAGGCTAACAAGCACTGGAATGAATATAAGATGGAGAGATAATGCTAACATATTCACTACAAAGGAAGTCATAAGCGACATCAACTCGTGGATGTGTTGCACCGTTCAAGCGCTAGCGGACATATGGCGCTGTTCCCAAGTTTCCCAACGCATACAGGATTAACGGAGACAATCAGTCGCTACTTGAGGACGTGGATGTTGCGGGTAGAATCAAGCGTCTAATGCCAAGCCAGTGCAATGTATTTGCGATCACACTTGAAGTTGTTGGTGGAACACAACAAGAAAAACAAAGCTACATCACACTTTAAATGCGAGAAAATACCCGTTAGCCTCAAAAAGCATGCAAGTAACGAAGGCTTATAATAATATTAGAAGAAATAGACGGCACACAGAGAAGCGTGAACGAGTTTCCGTTTATAGCGAACTTAGTCGATAACATAACAGCAAACTACCCGCAACAGTCAAAAGAATAAAAAGCACGCTCGCCTGGGTCGCTAGGTCAGCATCCTCACTAGCGCTGGCAAGTGAAGCTAGTTGAGGTTCTGCAGGCCAGACTGGGAACTTGTAAGTTCTTCAGCATCGCCGTCACGATGGATGATATCACACATATGTGGAGCTCGTCTCTATGTTACGAGACTTGCATAAAACATTAAGTGATGTGAAGCAGACAGCGCTGACGCTGGCTGTCCTGCAGTATTAGGAGAGACAGCCAAGGCTTCCCTTGAAAGATAATGACGGGCAACAACAAATATTCTTGGGCCAATGAGCTACAACACTTCGTTCATTCATGGTGCTAGTTTATAGGTGCCAGTCGTATTATTGGCGCCGGCAACAGTTACCTTTCTTCATTGCTATCATCGCTTAATGAACTGATGAGTCGGAATTGATATCACTGATGCAATACCTATACGATGTTAGCAGTAATTTTCAAAGGCTGTGATCGCTTCTAAGAAAGGAGATGAAGAAGAGTTCAATTATTCTGAAGGGCGCACCGCCAGCAAGTAAGGGACACGGTGTGGTGGCGGTGCCTCTGGGCTGGGGCATTTGCTCCCATCAGTTTGTTGCTGAAGGCCTAATGTCCTGAGCTCAGAGGTGCGGCTAATGCCGCTATAGTGCAGCACATGCCTCCTATTAATACCTAGTTAGCAGCTACGGCTTCTTGCGCTACCATACAAAGTTAACTGGCCTTGACACCAACCTTTTCGACCGTTGTGCTCAAACAGGACACGCGCTTGGCCGTCTTGCGCTCGGATGTCTTGTTATGAGGGGCGGCGAGTGGGGCCGGGTTCAGCAGTGGCAGGCGCTTCTCGCTCGTTGCTACGTCCTGTTAATAGGGAAAATGTCAGCACATGCGTGGTGGCTGTAAGAGATGCACAAGTATTGAATACAAAATGAAAACGACCAATGATACATCACAATCATTTCAGATCAAATTAACAGAGGCGCATAACCTTTGCTCTCGGTGTAATTCTCCAGCATTCCCCACCTATAGTGTCAACCACCACGACTGTAGACATTCACACGCGACCATGCTTCTCTTCACATTGATAATAATCACAATGTTAGCACCTATGCCACATACACGCCACCACACACTCGTGCCACATACATGCCACCATTCACTAATGCCACATACACGCCACCACACACTCATGCCACATACATGCCACCATTCACTAATGCCACATACATGTCTCCATACACTCATGCCACATACATGCCACCACACACTCATGCCACCACCTGCACCACCACGACCACCCACCGCCTGGGACGCTGCACCAGGGGCAAGTAGAGGCGCGGCTCTAGCGTAGGGTGTGAGGCTGACGCCTCCTGCTGCCAGCAGCTTCTTCTTTAGTTCCTCTTGTGGGCTGTAAGGGGCAAGTAGAGGCGCGGCTCTAGCGTAGGGTGTGAGGCTGACGCCTCCTGCTGCCAGCAGCTTCTTCTTTAGTCCCTCTTGTGGGCTGTAAGGGGCAAGTAGAGGCGCGGCTCTAGCGTAGGGTGTGAGGCTGACGCCTCCTGCTGCCAGCAGCTTCTTCTTTAGTTCCTCTTGTGGGCTGTAGAACGTGAGGCGTTCGCAGCGGGTGAGGGTGATAGGCGGTGCCTGGAGGTCTTGCAGGACAAGGTTATACTCAAACCTGCACATTGGTGACATGGTTTAAACGCGCCAACAAATTACAAACTCGCAGACTTTTCATCCAGCATTATTCAGATAAAGGAAACAATACATAAAATATGAGCAGCGTTGTCCATACAAGTAACAGTGATAACCTGCTTTCTTCTACCTATGAATTTATTTGAACACCATCAATAAACTTCTAATATATATTATGTAGGAGGACAGTATAAAATTAACATCATCAATTCACAATTATGTTCAGGAATTAAAACAGGAAATGATCAAGGTACCTCATTTGTTTCTTGTTCTTCAAGAAAATGTCCACAGGAAAATAGAATCCTGCATACCCCTTCTCAGTAATGATGAAAGGAGGCGTCTTGAGGGCTGCAAGGGCAAACAAAAATACAATAAGACAACATGCACACTGGAAGTGAACAAAAAGAGGATAGTGCCATTGAAGGTATTTAGACAGAAGCTGTTTCTTTATTACAATTATTTCTGAACAATGATGGCAATGAAGTTTGATTAAAGTGCATAGCTGGATCTACAGATGGTGACCAAATAATGAAGACTGATGAATGGGCCATGGTACAATTCTCACTGTATGAACTTGACAAATTGTTTAATGTCAAGTGAATACATACAAGAAAGTTAAACATTATAAAATTCCATTTAACTAAGCTCTTTTACAGGAACTAAAGCATTGATAGAGATGAAAAAGAGCCTCTGAATTGTCACAACTGCACTCAGCTACATTCTTATAGCTGAAGTATAAAATGTATTTCAATCATAATGAAAGATAAAGCAACCTTCTCCAGATGGCACAATTGGCACTGGTTTATACAGCAGGAAGGTAAAATGCATTGCAAATGATGAAAGACAAGAACTCACTTCTCTTGGGCCCCTTGAAACTTTCATGTAGATTGAAGACAACCTTCTCTACAATATCAGCGAGGCTGCGATCATTCTCCCCCCTGACCCACACACACACTCCACTCGTGGGTGAAGCCCTCTTTAGTTACATGCTGCAGCACCCGGGCAGTGTGCCCGAGCTCAATGCTCACTGCCACTACACTCTGTTGAAAATTGGTACAGGTGTGAAGTAGGCTGGGTAAATACAATTTTACCTTGTAAATACAAGGTAAAATGCCTTAAAAGATATCAGCCTAAAGTAAATATCTTCATGGGACATATGCTGAATTGAATAGTTAAGTCAGAGTCAATCATGAAGAAACAAACTTCAGGGATATCTCTAATGATAAATCACATAAGGCATCACTAAGCTTCTATTTACAATGCAATTCTCCAGTAATAATTAGATTACACAAGAAATTCTTCTTTCATCCTCAGGAAATTTATTCAGCCCCACAAAATGTAGCCATGCCACAACACCCTCATTAAATGTCAAACCAGCCATCTAAATAATGCCTGGCAAGTTCCAGATTTGGAGTTTGCCTTTGCACCTCAGGAATTCCAAAGCTCTGAGTCCATTTTGTTACTGAATGACCCTATGGCTTCCCGTCATATTACCTCCTATTTTAATATTCTTATATTTTCTGCATAGAGAACAAAATGAAGAAAAAACTATTCATATTAAAATGAAATGTGGTTAGCAATTAGCAAACTTACCATTGCCATTCTTAGTGAGCTGCAAAGAGTTGAGAAGACTAGCTAAGTTATAGAACACTAAGAACTCTTTATAAAATCAGAGAGTTGAGAGAATATAGCCTGATATATTTAATCATTAATTGAATATGAATCACAAGTAAGCATATGCCTCTTCAACCTGAAATGGAGGAGTTGGGTGAGCACAAGCAACACAAATATAACTTTCATTGTATTTTCTGTGGTCATTTGATAGAGATATTTCAAAGTCCTGCAGTATTATGCAGACTGAAATCATTTAGGAATCTCATGCTTATAAAATACATTGGCACTAGCAGGTTTGCCTGTCATTACCTAAAATGTATAATGCCAGCTATCTTACAAACTTATTGTACTAAATCATTTAAATATGAATATAACAATGCATGCTATTTACAGCATGGCATGTTCTAACTCATATCTTACACACATCATAGAACTCATATTTGGTTCTAGTTTTAAAATAGAAAAAAACTAAATTGTTTTTTTAAAAATTGTTTTTTTTCTGTTTTAAAAACTCCACTGAAATAAAATTAAGAATATATTACAGTAGATACTGGAATATTACAGAAATATACTGATCAGTAATGAACAGAAACATTGCAAGCATCAGTAAACTTGAGAGTAATTATCTTGGATGCAAACAAGGAATTATTACAAGTATAATATGGCAGGTTCCCAGGACCAAGAGGCTTCCTGCTCACACTTGCCCTTGTTATGGGCTGTCACTCTTACTGCTGCAGAGTGGTGGTAACCTTGATCCCACTTGGGGAAGTAACTCTCCCCCAGTTAGGAGTTATTGTGAAATTATTTTGAATCTTGAAATTCATGGTAAACAATATCTATATTTTTGTTATCAGTGCTCTCCATCTCATTCTCTTTGCCTCTTTGCGCAGACCATTATTTCATGCACCAGTGTTGAATCAAGTTCCAAATCTCCCATCTGCCATTATCTCTTACTCACACTACTGCCTATGGCTGGTGCCAAGTTATACCTTTTTATACCTTTATACCTAGTTGCCAAGATATACCTTTTTAAATCACTGCTCGTACATACATTGATAAAGGCTTTAATGCCATGTTTTTGAGAATACTGTTATAGATGAGAAATATATTTATCTGTTATCCTGCTAGATAGTTTATTGTGTATATATGTTTTGAAGTTTGAATTGATGATGTGTTTAATAATACCTATTTGTGTTAGGTGTTTATAGTGTAAATATTTTACAGAAGCATCTTCAAGTACTTTCACAGAAGCCAATATATGCTTAAATAACCTACAGGTACCAATTCATGTAACAAGACAATCTCCATATTTTGTGTGCCAAAAGCAGTGAATCAAGTGTCAAGGAATGTGTAATGATATTGAAGGGGATGATACATAAAGTATTAAATGACCACTGAGGAAATGTGCAATTGTCATAATTGGATATTTACCACACTAATGAAACATAGTTACAAATAGAATAGTAACAGAAAAAACATAATTTATACCTATTCTTTATACCTGCCTAGCTGATTTCAATTAGAGCTGATAAGCACCTTACAAAACTTGCTCTAGCTAAGGGGTTGGTGATTATGAGCTTTCAGTAGACTAATAAAGTTTTCCATGTAATTGCAAGGTTTGCTGGTGATTCAACTAAAATAAATTTGAAGTCATATTTTGTGCTTATGTTGGTTATTGGCAGCTATTTTGGTGTGTACGTTCTTTTTGGCAATGGGCATTTAATGAAATTCAGTGACTAGGTGTAGAATTAAATTAAATATTGAGTCAACTTCACCTGCAACCAACCAAAGCTTATTTCTACCTATTTTTATGGTTCACAATCTTGCCTTCCATAAATAGGCATAGACACATTGTAGTAAACATTTTATAACATAAAAAAAAAACAAAAAAAAAACACAGGACAACACACGAGACTCCACATCTCAAAAACAGAAAAAAATGACACAAAAAAAAAAAAAAAAAGAAAAGTTACTGATTATGTTACTAATAATATTGTAATTTACACGTTATGCAGATATTTGCAAAATAACACTAAATTTACAGCACATTCTAGCTGTGCTGATGATGGAATGATTTTGAGAGAAAATGAGAAAATTATACATATGAAAAACTGCATATTTAATAATTTTAAATACCTACAACTTATAGCAGGGAATGCAATGCAAGGTACTGCAGAAGAGCCAAGTACTAGTTGTAAATGCAAGAGCTAAGGAATGGACTGGATGCATTTGCATGGATTAATGGTGAAGCTGATCAGACTGAATTTAGTATATTTATTATATATACAGAAAAGTGGCAGGATAGATGCTAGCAGCCCCAGCTGAGCTGGAATGCAGACAAGTCAAAATATGGGAAAAGGTTTGTCCAGGGAGATAAGAATGACAGCAGACGTGGTATTTAAATTAAGAATGGAACACATGATGTGAAATGAATGTTTATTGCAAGTTGTATAGTATGGAACAGGAGACTGAGCAAGTGGGAATGTGTCATCCAATATTGAAGGAGTGGGTTAACTAAAACACCTCCTGGTGAAGCATAATGCATAGGAGTGATGAGGCTTGCAAGATTAGAAGCCATGTGGGGGGTATTAATAAACAACACAACCACATCAAAACTCCCATGATACCAGTGAAGGCCCGGGACAGCCATAATCGTCCTAATTGACATTCTCCTCAAATCATCACCACCCTCAAACTAGGAGAAATATACAAGACATTCCAGCTGGTCTAAATCTAGGCCTCTCTAACACATAGCCAATGCTTAATAATTATTAACCATATGACAAACTCTGCTGGATCTATTTCATATATAAGTGACAGCGTTTCAAGTATTATTGTAACTACTGTCCATGATTAATGGTGCACTAGTCAACATTCAAGCAAAACTGGAAAATCTGGTAGGAGCATCCCATGGAAGAGCAAACACTGCCTATGCCAACTAACAATTTCACCAATCTTGCTAACCCTTACCCATAAATTTTCTGAATGAATCAACTCATTTAATTTTTGAAATGAACTAGGAGGTGGATAGCTAAACTCATACCTAACAGAGAATGAAGCCATTATTATTTTCAATGATAAATTGCCTCCACCATAAATTGCATATTCTACCAATTTTCTGCAACAGATATTCATCAGGAAAATTAGTATAACTGTTCCTTCAATATGACCCATGCCCTTTGGTTTTAACTCTACTTTGTACCATCCAAATTGAATAAAAAAAAATCGTTCATTTTCATTTTTTTAAAACTACTTATGAAATAAGCAGTTTTACTAGTAATTTCCAGAGAAATTTTCCCCTTAATTATACCACACTATCAAGCTATCAAGTCTCAATTTGGCAGATGTAGAATTAATTTTCATGCCGTGCAGTAATTTTTATAGCA